TCCATCCGTGACATTTCCTTGCTATATTTCAAAATATTCGAAACGGTCATTACTGTTAGTGGGATTATAGTGGAAGCAACTCAGCCACCAAGTGGTAGGCCACATAAAATGAGGGTCGAGAGCGTAGTCAGCGAATGCTGAAGTGAGCGCTACACAGGGACTGCAGATAGTTCACCAATCTGTCTGCAGAGTCACTAATGCGTATAGATAGAGACCTCCAAATTTCAGGGGTGTGTGGCCTTCTCGATTAGACAACAGACGGTGCATAGGAGTGCTTCATGGAGATGGATTTCTATGGCTGAGCAGCTGCATCAAGAGAGCCTCATAATTAACTCGCCAAGTGACAATGCAAAGCGTCGGAATATGCAGTGGTGTAAAGCACTCCACACTGGACTCTAGAGCAAGCGTGGAAGAACATGTTCTCTAGAGCGATTGCATACACACTTCTCTTTCTCATCATATCTGATGGACCTGGTGGAACCAGCTGATGATCATGTGACCACTATGACACCAAATCACAGTGGTCACGAGATCAGACATAGACCTTATCACATTCAGATAGACCTCAATTCCTCAGGCATAATACCCCAGTTAAAGGGACACCAGGGCTGTCACCAACAAGAAGCCCACCATCAGAAATGATATGCAGCATTTACCGGAATACATGTAGAAAGCAAGTGGCTGAAAAGAAGCTGCAGGAGATCAGCAGTGCTAAGGTGCAACAAACAAGTGCAGTAATTTAGTAAAAAAAAATATATCAATTGTTTATGATACAAAGTGCATTAGAAAACTAAGTGTCCTTTAATTAGAGCTTGCATGAACCTTAAAGCCAAATTCAAGACAGATATAAAAGACACAAATTAATACTACTCTGCCTTATTAAAGTTTATATAAAACCAAAACATTTTGATTCATGGAACGGTTAAAACCTCTATCACGTTATCTTTTTGCACCCTGTGTCTTGCTGGAAAGATTTATCTTCACTTCCTGTCCTGGGGAAGCAAAATTAGAAAATTCCTCCAAAGTGAAAAAAATCCCATTTTAGATACTTGTCTTAGGAAGAGATGTCCCCATCGGATGATTTTTCCTTCACCGTGCTTTGTTGACAAATCCCAAATTTTGGACTTTCCTATCACTGTCTCTTAGTGACAGTGATCACCAGTGCAAACAGAGAGGGTGCAAACTCAGCAGCATACAGATAGGAATAAGAACTGGCAGGGGGTTTAACCTTTCCCCATTCTATCCAAAAATAAAACATTATACAGTATCTCACAGAAGTGAGTCCACCCCTCACATTTTTGTAAATATTTTACTCTATCTTTTCATGTGACAACACTGAAGAAATGACACTTTGCTACAATAGCACTGGGGAGCTACAGTTCATTGAGGGTACCATAAGTGCTAATATGTACTGTGACATACTGAAGCAGAGCATGATCCCCTCCCTTCAGAGACTGGGCCGCAGGGCAGTATTCCAACATGATAACGACCCCAAACACACCTCCAAGACGACCACTGCCTTGCTAAAGAAGCTGAGGGTAAAGGTGATGGACTGGCCAAGCATGTCTCCAGACCTAAACCCTATGGAGGTTTAGGGGCATCTGTGGGGCATCCTCAAATGGAAGGTGGAGGAGCGCAAGGTCTCTAACATCCACCAGCTCTGGTGAACTCCATGCCCAAGAGGGTTAAGGCAGTGCTGGAAAATAATGGTGGCCACACAAAATGTTGACACTTTGGACCCAATTTGGACATTTTCACTTAGGGGTCTACTCACTTTTGTTGCCAGAGGTTTAGACATTAATGGCTGTGTGTTGAGTTATTTTGAGAGGACAGCAAATTTACATGTTATACAAGCTGTACACTGACTACGTCACATTGTAGCAAACTGTCATTTCTTCACTGTTGTCACATGAAAAGGTAGAATAAAATATTTACAAAAATGTGAGGGGTGGACTCACTTCTGTGAGATACTATATATTTGAAAATTGATCAGTCCTGATGTACGGACAGCCTATCTCATTTCCTGAGGTCCTATCCCAAATGACCCCTTTTTGGAAAGTAAACAGTCCAAGATATATAGTAAGAGACGTGGTGGGTTTGTTAATTTAAAAAAAATAAAATAAATTAAATAAAAAATTTTTTACATAAAAAATAAAGTTTTTTTTTCACATTTAAACATTTTTTTTCTAGGATTTTTCTTTTTAAAGATTTTTTTTACATACTCTCATCAGTGTAATTCAGCATCACCATATTGAAACTGTACTACTTTGGGAGGTGAGCAGGGTTTTTTTTAAACACTGTTATTGCTTATACCAGTGATGGTCACTGTTATAAGCAATAGTTTTGACTGTCACGAATGGCTTTTATTCATAACAGCTTGCTTACTATTGTGATCTGTGATTGGCTACAGCTAATCACATGGTATAGGGTGCCAGGTACCATGTGATAGTTATGGGCCAATCACAGCATCACAGTAGTAAGAAAACAGTCATGAATGGAAGCCATTCATAACTATTTTGTTAACATGTAATCATGTGATCTATATGTCTGGTCATAGCATTTCCATGATACCCTAGACCAGGGGTGGGCAAACTTTTTGATTTGAGGGCCGCAATGGGTTCATATATTGGACCCGGGGGCCGGACCAAGAGTAGATGAATGATTTGTATGTGTCATCCATAGTAAGTATAGTAATATTCCCCCATAGTAAGCATAGTAATTAATCCCCCATATAGTAATTCATCCCCCATAGTAATTAATCCCCCATAGTAATTCATCCCCCATAGTAATTAATCCCCCATATAGTAATTCATCCCCCATAGTAATTCATCCCCCATAGTAATTCATCCCCCATATAGTAATTCATCCCCCATAGTAATTCATCCCCCATAGTAATTCATCCCCCATAGTAATTCATCCCCCATAGTAATTCATCCCCCATATAGTAATTCATCCCCCATAGTAATTCATTCACTTACCTTTGCTCCGCGCGTTCCTCTCGCCGTTCCGGTCTTCAGGGCGGACTGTGAGAGGAGCCTAGCTCCCCTCACGTTCGTCACGCTGCCCCGCCTACACACTTCCTGACAGCCATCCTGACAGTCCACGGCTCCACGGGCCGGATTAAAAGGTCCGCCGGGCCATATACGGCCCGCGGGCCGTAGTTTGCCCATTGCTGCCCTAGACGCTCACAATGGCTCTGTATGATCTCCATGATCACAGTACATTTACTCACAGTAAATGTACTCTGGGTGGATGGCAAGTAGTTAAACTGTCAACAGATTTCTATATGTAGCGCCATCCCAGAAGGAACAGCTTGGTAACTTTGGGTTCTCTGTTCTGTGCCTCATCTCCAAGAACAACCTTGGCCCCTCTGACACACCAGGTTGACTAAAACTCACTCCAAGCACGAATAAATACATAAATGTAAAATACTCTTTGTGCCGATTCACACTTGTGCGGTGCGGATTGAAGCTCAGCTAATTGACACAGTAGATGTTCACCGGTTCAGGTCAGGTTTACATCAGGTTCAGGACAGGATCAGCTCAGGATTTTATCCTGTTCACACATGGTGCATACCCGCCACCTAAAACTGAAATAATACTAATAATCACCCAAAGTTTTATCTTTCTGTATAAAGTGATATTAAACCCACCGTTTGTAAGCACTTTCAGCAGCTAATGTATCACTTACGGAGTATGCAGCTCCTTTAAACTTTAATTCTTGCCTATGTTCCAGTTTAAGCTGGTGCCATGACCACTGCTGCAGGTTTCCTGTTTCAGGGTGGCTCCTTTCTCTTGCACCATCCTATGGAGCCACCCCTGCATACAGGGACTAGAATTATGTACCCCCTCCCCTCCCTGCCCCCGCTCTTCCCTTCTCTCCCCCCTCTAAGCTAACAGACTGACTGGAGACTGCACTGTCCATTGTTAATGCTTTCTTGTGATGACCAGAAGCTCAGGGAAGCAGTACTGAGGAGCCTGTAGCATTAAATGCTATAAACTGCCAGTGCCGGGTGAAACATTTTCCCAACAGTATACTGGGGAATGTTTATGTTATTGCTGTGTTGGAGTTCCCCCTACTCAGTAACATTCGCAGGCTCTCCCTACACATTTGATCCCTCCGGATCTGTTCAAAGACTTTTTTTCTGGTTTTGCAGGAATGAGACTGTGCTCCAGAGAACCACAACAGTGGAACTCACAAGGTGAGCACAGCAGTGCTATTAAGTAGATATTTATATTAAAATGGAAATCTCAGATACTGCCAGCTCATCAAACAAATCCATTCAAAACACAAGTATCACGTTCTGGACACTGAGGTCGAAATCTAGACAAACGTCTAAATAATGAGCTGAAATACATCAATGAGAGCTGCTTTACCTGCCAAAGGATTTGTATTTCAGTCTGTACAGTCCTGCAGGCAGCAGAGCCAGGTTGGTGACTTCACTTTTCTGTATTGCACTCGGGGAACACAACCTGATCACCTCCCTGCTTCCAGTCCACATTAGGGCAGTGAAGGTACAATAACAAACATATGTTTTATTTATACTTTGTATTCATTGTCAGCTCCACCCAGCTATGGTTCAGATTTTTTTGTTGTCCTTTTAAATTTACAGAATAGCTTTTGGAGCAATTGAATATAATTTTTGACATTGTTCTACTGTGCAATGGTGATCATCACTGTAGGCACATGAGGTGTAAAACATAAAATCTAGTGGATTTGCATGATATAATTTGCATGTTTCCTGTTCTCTATATGTGATGTCGGGGGGGGGGGGTTTCCCCCTAATGATGTCAGCTGTTATATAGGAGACATTGTACCGGTGACATCTCAGTAGTCTGTGTGTGTCAGTGCAGAGACATCAGGATGGCTTCTCAGGGGGTTCTGCTGCCTCTCATACTGCTTTATATTCGGGTGAGAGATTCACATAGTAAAGTATATAATGATAAGGGGGGAGAAGAGAATTGCAAGAAAAAAAATATAAATAAAATCATGTTCTTGTTTTCTCAGGATCCTGGGCACAGGTTACACTGACACAGACTCCGAACGAGATCTCTGCAACTCCAGGACAGACAGTCACCATCTCATGTAAATCCAGTGCTATTATCAATGATTATTTACACTGGTACCAGCATAAAGCAGGACAAACTCCAACACCAATTATCTGGCGTGCAACCAATCTGCAGTCCAGAGCCCCATCCAGGTTCAGTGGTTCTGGACTTGGAATAAATTTCACTCTTACAATTACAGACATAAAGGATGAAGATGCAGCAGTTTATTACTGTCAGCATGCTTTGGAGCTTACATTCACAAAATGATACAGAGCCGTACAAAAACCTCTTTCCTCTTTTAGTATCAATGAAGCCTCTGATCATTTTAACCATTTCCAGTCCGGACACTTTCACCCCCTTCCAGTCCAGGCCAATTTTCAGCTTTCAGCGCTATCACATTTTGAATGACAATTGCGCGGTCATGCACCACTGTACCCATATTCATTTTTTTTTAGATAGAAAAAAACTTTATTTTCGTAGTATTTATTCACCACTGGGATTTTTATTTCTTTGCTATATAAATGAAAAAGGCCAAAAATGTTGAAAAAAAAGTGTTTTTCTTATAAAATTTTGCAAATAAATAATCTTTCTTCATATATCTTGGCCAAAATGTATTAATCTATCTTATTAGTAAAAAAAAAAACACAAATTAGTTTATAATCAAAAAATTATCATTTTTCTTTACATTTTTATTTTTTTTTTATATTGTTATTTATATTTTTTGTTTTTTTAAAACATACTGATTTTGAGTGTAGTTCCAGGTTTGCTGAGAAGAAACACATTTTTGATTATCTGAACATATTGCAAGGATAAAGGAGAAGTGTGGGGTTTCTAAAAAAATAATCCTTCATACTCACCTCGCTGTTATGCTGCAACTTTCCCATTTCAGCTGTAAGACCAAGAACTGAGTGATCGATCTCATGACTGCTGATTGCTCTGTTCTCAATCAGCTCAGAACAGAGCCAGCTGTCAATCAGGCAGCTGGGTAGATCCCTACATTGTGGTGGTAATTCTTAAAGAGCCTGGAGTTGCTCTGCACTGCCAGATAACAGCAGGCTATCGCCCACTGTCAGCTGATTCTGGGTAACAGGAGAGCAAAGGTAAGTGCATTCCTATGACCCAGAAGGGAAGTATGGCCAAAAAAGCTTTGGCCATACTTCTCTTTTAAACAACTTTTTTCAAGAAATGTTTCCTTTATCCTTCCAGACTGATTAAATACTGTATAACCACATAAGCTCAGGGTTCTACTAGGAAAAGCTGCAGTGTCTGCATCACTTAAGGCTCATTCGCCAAGAATCAGTATAAACCTCTAGTGGCCAGGAAACCTATACAAATCAATAACAGGCAATGCAGCTGTCCAGAGCCCATCAGTTGTGCACAAGGGTGTACATAATCACTTCAGGTTGCCATATTGAATGGAAGCAAGATTTGACTTTAACATTGACTTTTGACATTTTCATACATTTCAGGGCTTGCAGAGTGAAATGCAAAGGTCATTTTTAATAACAATATATTACAAAAAAAGCATGTGTATCAACTACATCTTTGGTGGTCAACCTGTAAATTATAGAGGGCCTTAAGTGCTGACAATTGATACATTTTGTATGAATTGACCCATAATCCCTGTAATTAACTTTTGGGTAGTTTACATTCTGATGCTGGACAGTACCAAATAGCACCATCACCGGAAAATGTGCACACTATTTACTGCTAGCAGTACAGCAATGTGATATAGAGAAAGGGCAGCACCCACGTGCAATACTTTTTTGTTGGATTTAGATTCAGGGTGGTGAAAATTGCCAGTTTCAATGATGAAAGAATACTTCATGAGAAATTAACAATCGCTAAACATTCTCTGCATGTGAATATTTCAGGTACATGAATTTCAAATGTCAGAGATCCATTCACCCCAATGAATGTGTGGTGAATGTCACATTCACTGTTTTAAAATATAGTCCCATTAATTGTTGGGCATTGTGGATAAAAGCATTTTGGACATATTTCTCACTGTGTCATTTTCTTGACAAAGGTGTCCTTTTATGACACAGAATAGCTGTGATTCAGAGGATCACAGCTATTCTCTGGTCATTCACAGTTTATAACACTCAGGAAAACATGTTCAGCCCTTCACTGGAGATCTGTGTTCTCCCTCCAGATTCTCCAGCCCAGAGCTGGAGAATCGGTGGGACCGCAAACCAAGCAGAGATAATTTACCTCTGTTTAGTAAACTGATCTTTTACTGTAATCTCACGAGATTATAGTAAAATCAGCCGTTTTCCAGTGTTTGGAGACCGTTTTCCCTTCGTTTGGAGAACTGATCTACATATGCTTCATAAACGGCATTCACAGGAGAACTGTGTTCTCCGAGAATGCCGGAGAGAACTGAGCAGCGATCTATTACTGCTGGTTCATAAACGGACACCTTAATCCGTTACATCTACACATTTCAGTATTGTATAAATTTAGTTATTTTTCTCTTTTCTCTCTTTTAATATATATATAGTTAAGATCTAATATTATTTATGAATTAATCCTAAATGCAGGTAACACGGTGGCATTATAATATTATAATTAAACCAGTTTTCATAAGTAACATTTATTTATTTTATCATTGCAAGTCAAACTGTGGCTGGAAACCACAAGATTTGCATTCATTTCCATACACAGTGTGTGTGTGTGTGGTGGTGGGGGGGGGAGATAACACCTCCCCTGTCACTCTCTCTATATATCTCATTGTACAGGAGACGTCTTCTAGTTTGGATCTGACCCTCCAGAAACATCAAGATGCTTTCTCCCAGTTATCTGCTGGCTGTCATCTTCATTTCTATTCAGGGTGAGAGATGAGGCTCCTTCCATCCTCCTCTGCACATACATCTATACATTGTACAATAAATACACACATCAGGATTGATAGGAAGATATCCAGACATTGATCAATAATCAATATGTCTCTTCCCATCCTCAGGATCCTGTGGAGAGATTGTGATGACTCAGACTCCAGATTCTATCTCTGTGTCCCCGGGACAGACAATCACCATCACATGTACATCCAGTGCTGGTGTAGGTAGCTACCTAAACTGGTTCCAACAGAAGCCCCAACAACCTCCAAAGCTTCTTATCTATTATGCTGACACTCGGCAATCTGGGATCCCGGACAGGTTCAGTGGTTCCAGATCTGGAAATGTATACAAACTAACCATCACTGGAGGGACTGAAGATGATGAAGGAAGATATTACTGTTTGCAGTATGACACCACCCCGTTCACACAGTGATACAGAGCCGTACAAAAACCTCCTTCCTCTTTTATAACCCCAGCAATCAAACGTGTAATAACATAACATACAAATAGCTGTAATACATTTTTGAAAATTAATTGTGATCATTATCAGAGAAATTATTATTATAATTTTACACAAATGAAAACGGTGTCACTCATATCAACCATCTGATAATCTGCTGCCATTTCATAAATGGTATGAGCTGCAATCTATCTGGTTGAAAAAGATAACAGACACCTTTTTTCAATTGTAAGCCTGGGATCACACACACCACATGTAGTTCGCATAGGAATCGCACTACATTCCTGTGCAAATTACATGCAATTGTCTGCGCGGTGTGATTTGAGCCATACATTTTGTATGGCTCAAATTGCATCGCATCTGCACCACAAAGGTGCACGGCCCTTTTTTAAATCCACACCTATATCACATCGCATGAATGTTCTCACCCATATGATATGATTTATGGCAATGACATTGCGTTTTGCTATGGGTTTCGGGGTGTCATTAAGTTATCATTGACACACACACCAGATCTCATGAATGCGATTGCAATGCGATGTGGTGCGGGAAACTCACAGGATTCGCAGCGTTTCTCACACGCATTGGTGTGAACCCGGGGCTTATAGTAAGCAGTACAGCTCCTGCTAAAAGTCTAATTGTAAAGTATACTGTATATAACACAGATCACTAATATCTCATATAACATTTAACATTCTAAAAGCATTTTTGAAAATTTTTTTTATCTGCAGCTTTTATTAATTATTTGCCTTTTTTTTTTTTTTTTCTTTTTTTTTTTTGGTTGAACTGGCTGGACTTTTGTCTTTTTCAGCCAGACTAACTATTTAACTATATGTAACATAACATATACACTATATTGCAAAACATATTCTGGTGTTCCAATCACCTCCATGGCCAGTGTATAAAATCAAGCACCTAGGCATGCAGACTGCTTCTACAAACATTTGTGAAAGAATAAGTCGCTCTCAGGAGCTCAGTGAATTCAAGCGTGGGTCCCGTGATAGGTCGCCACTGTGTGATAAATCCATCCGTGACATTCATTGCTACAAAATATTCCACGGTCAACTGTTAGTGGGATTATAACAAAGTGGAAGCAACTCAGCCACCAAGTGGTAGGCCACATAAAATGACAGAGCGTAGTCAGCGAATGCTGAAGCACACAGGGTGCAGAAGTCACCAACTGTCTGCAGAGTCAATAGCTAAAGACCTCTAAACTTTGTGTGGCCTTCAGATTAGCACAACAACAGTGCATAGAGAGCTTCATGGAATGGATTTCTATGGCCGAGCAGCTGCATCCAAGCCTCATATCACCAAGTGCAATGCAAAGCGTCGGATGGAGTGGTGTAAAGCACGCCGCCACTGGACTCTAGAGCAGTGGAGACATGTTCTCTAGAGCAATGCATCACACTTCTCTGTCTCATAATCTGATGGACATGTCTGGGTTTGGCGGTTGCCAGGAAAAACGGTACTTGCCTGACTGCATTGTGCCAAGTGTGTAGTTTGGTGGAGGAAGATTATGGTGTGGGGTTGTTTTTCAGGGGCTTGACCCCTTAGTTCAAGTGAAGGGAACTCCTAAGGCGTCAGCATACCAAGACATTTTGGACAATTTCATGCTCCCAACTTTGTGGGAACAGTTTGGGGATGACCCCTTCTTGTTCTAACATGACTGCACACCAATGCACAAAGCAAGGTCCATAAAGACGTGGATAAGTGAGTTTGGTGTGTGGAGAGCACACTCCCAGCACATTGATCAAGCTTTTAAAGACAGCTCGCAGCCTCTAGTAATGATCTGGACCTGTCTGAACCAACTGATGTTCATGTGACCACTATGACACCAAATCACAGTGGTCACGAGATCAAATAGACCTTGACATCCAATCACAGTTATCACAAGATCAGATAGACCTTCCCATTCCTCAGGCATAATACCCCAGTTAAAGGGACACCAGGGCTGTCACCAACAAGAAGCCCACCATAAGAAATGATATGCAGCATTTACCTGAGTACATGTAGAAAGCAAGTGGCTGCAAAGAAGCTGCAGGAGATCAGCAGTGCTAAGGTGCAACAAACATGTAAGTGCAGTAATTTGGTAAAAAAAAAATATATCAATTGTTTATGATACAAAGTGCATTAGAAAAAACTAAGTGTCCTTTAATTAGAGCTTGCATGAACCTTAAAGCCAAATTCAAGACAGATATAAAAGACACAAATTAATACTACTCTGTCTTATTAAAGTTTATATAAAACCAAAAAATTTTGATTCATGGAACGGTTAAAACCTCTATCACGTTATCTTTTTGCACCCTGTGTCTTGCTGGAAAGATTTATCTTCACTTCCTGTCCTGGGGACGCAAAAAATTAGAAAATTCCTCCAAAGTGAAAAAAAATCCCATTTTAGATACTTGTCTTAGGAAGAGATGTCCCCATCGGATGATTTTTCCTTCACCGTGCTTTGTTGACAAATCCCAAATTTTGGACTTTCCTATCACTGTCTCTTAGTGACAGTGATCACCAGTGCAAACATAGAACCCTTCACACTGCCACCACCACCTTTTTACAGAGAAGGAGGAAACTCACATATCTTAGCAGTAACACTATGATGTTTGAATAAGCGTCTGTAAACATACTGGCACTGCAGACAGATGTATACAGAGGGTTAAAACATACAGTAGCATTCTTCAGAGACAGGGATTCTTTTAGTTTGCCTTTAAAGCTTTAGAGAAAGTGTCAGGGATCCTACAGCGGTAGCCTCTAGCGTTCCACAGACCGGATTCCCCAAGGCGCGGAATCTAAGTCCCTACCTGCTTGTTCACCAGGGCCCCTGATGGTGGGGATGGACTTGGAGCAGGCCGAGACCAGGTCGCAGCCCCTGAGTTCACCCAGCTGTGGTAGAAGCACCGTTGGAGGTGTATAGCAGGTGAGAGTCTGATGTGAGGAGGTCACAAGAGCAGCGTCAGGCAGGCCGGGTCGGTAACAGTGGTGGGGGCGTGGTACAAAATCAGCAGGCAGAGGAATAAACAGGTCACAAGCCGGGTTCGTTAACAGGAGATCAGAACGTGCAGGGTTAAGCAGGAGAATGGTCAGACAAGCCAGGGATCAGAACAGGAGACAGACAGCAAATCAGAGTCAGGAAGGGTCGGCAACAAACAATCTACTAAACAGGAACTTCAGGAAACAGGTAAGACCATATGGGCACTTGAGCATAGCAAGAGCTGGGTTTAAATAGCCCGCCCGACTCCTGACAGGCGCTCCTGGGTCCTAGTGCCTGCCGGCGCCGTCATTGGTGACAGGCGCACCTGGGTCCTAGTGCCTGCCTGCATGTTTTGTCAGGATTCTACGCATGTGCAGATTCGATCGCCGCGGCGATCTTTCCATTCCCTGACAGAAAGTTTCAACACTTTTCGGAAAATAGGATTTATTACAAAAAAGGTCAAAATGGTGCAATTAAAATATTTACAAGAAAAGATGTACAAGTATATATATTATATATTATATATATATAAATAGAGAGAGAGCAATAAAACAACAGAGAAATAAAAGAGAGAAGTTTCAGAAGGTAGGATACTTTCAAAAAGACCTTGGTTTTTAAGCAAGTGTCCAAACATCCAAACAAAATATGCTTTATATCAATGTGCTCAGTTCCTGTTGAAGTTTATGAATTTGTAAGAAAAGTGACTCAAGGGGGGGATGTACATTTTATGGCCCTTCTGCTGGAATGCGTACATGTCAAGTGACCGACTGAGTTATGGCTTTACGACGGAGCCAAGGCAAGTGTTTAGCAGACATTCTGGAACCAGGCTAATTGGGGGTTACAACCATGAAGCTTATTCAGCTGTGCCACACGCCCCAGTGCACACACAAACCACATTCCATTCAAAGGGGAGGGGGGACTGGACGGAGTGAGAATGATATTTTGTAGAGTATGATACAAATATGGTTGTCAGCGTCCATATCTATACGCACAATTGCCACAAGCACGTGCACGTGCACTCAACTCCTTTGGTCGACAATGGTGAGGCCTGTTCTGAGTGGGAATCTGTTTTGTTAAACCGATGTATGGGCTTGGCCACCGTGCTGCAGCTCAGTTTCAGGGTCTTGGCAATCATCTTATAGCCTAGGCCATCTTTATGTAGAGCAACAATTCTTTTTTTCAGATCCTCAGAGAGTTCTTTGCCATGAGGTGCCATGTTGAACTTCCAGTGACCATGTATGAGAGAGTGATAGCGATAACACCAAATTTTAAACACACCCTGCTCCCCATTCAAACACCTGAGACCTTGTAACACTAACGAGTCACATGACACCGGGAAGGGAAAATGGCTAATTGGAGGCTAATCCAACCTCATGTCAAATCACTTACAAACACATGCAGGCTCCAACCTCCGCAAACATCGCCAAGATACGCTCTTTCCTTACCCCAGACCCACTATAAGCTACTCGTGCACTCCCTGATTGTCTCGCTCCTTGACTACTGCAACTCCCTTCTCACCGGCCTGCCCCAGCGCAGGTTCTCCCCGCTTCTTCAGACCATCCTGAACTCAGTGGCTTAGACTCATCCACCTCACCAACCGCCTCACCTCTGCCACCCCCCTCTGTCATTCCCTCCACTGGCTCCCGGTTGCCCAACGCATCAAATTCAAACTGCTAACTCTGACCTACAAAGCCATTCACAACACTGCCCCAAACTACCCTCACCGACCTGATACCCAAAATACCACCCTACCCGTACCCTTCGCTCCTCACAGACCTCCTTCTGTCTTGCTCCCTGGTCTCCTCTTCCCACGCATGACTGCAAGACTTCTCCAGGTCCTCCCCCATCCTCTGGAACTCACTACCCCAATCCATCAGATTGTCGCCTTCCCTCCTCACCTTTGGGCGCTCCCTGAAAACCCACCTCTTCAGGGAAGAGGCCTACCCCAACCCTTACCTAACAGCCGTCCTCCTTCATTCCTCCTACCACTCCATCCCCCACAGCCATTTCCCTCCTGTACCACTACCCCTCCCTCCTAGATTGTAAGCTCAAAAGAGTAGGGCCCTCTAACCCCTCGTGTGCTGTTTGTTCTTGCTGTACTGATTCATGTATTGTCCCGTCCTCTATTGTACAGCGCTGAGCAAACCCTTTGGCGCTATATAAACTCAATGTAATAATAATAATAATAATTGGGCCCAATTTGGACATTTTCACTTAGGGGTGGACTCACTTTTGTTGCCAGGAGTTTAGACATTAATGGCTGTATGTTGAGTTTATTTTGAGGGGACAGCAAATTTACATGTTATACAAGCTGTACACTGACTACGTCACATTGTAGCAAAGTGTCATTTCTTCAGTGTTGTCACATGAAATGGTAGAATATATTATTTACAAACATGTGAGGGGTGGACTCACTTCTGTGAGATAATCTGTATTTGAAAATTGATCAGTCCTGATGTACGGACAGCCTATCTCATTTCCTGAGTCCCTATCCCACCAAATGACCCCTTTTTGGAAAGTAAACAGTCCAAGATTATATAGTAAGAGGCATGGTGGGTTTTGTTAAGTTTTTTTAAAAAATTAATAAATTAAATAAAAAATGTTTTTTCACAATTCTTTTTACATACAAAAAAAAATTATTATTTTTTTTTCATTAAAACATTTTTTTTTTTTAGGAATTTTCTTTTTAAAGATTTTTTTACATACTCTCATCAGTGTAATTCAGCATCACCATAGTGAAAACCGTACTACTCTGGGAGGTGAGCAGGGTTTTTTTTTAAACACTGTTATTGCTTATACCAGTGATGGTCACTGTTCTAAGCAATAGTTTTGACTGTCACAAATGGCTTTTATTCATAACAGCTTGCTTTACTATTGTGATCTGTGATTGGCTACAGCTAATCACATGGTATAGGGTGCCAGGTACCATGTGATAGTTATGGGCCAATCACAGCATCACAGTAGTAAGCAAACGGTCATGAATGGAAGCCATTCATAACTATTTTGTTTACATGTAATCATGTGATCTATATGTCTGGTCATAGCATTTACATGATACCCTAGATGCTCACAATGGCTCTGTATGATCTCCATGATCACAGTACACTTACTCACAGTAAATGTACTCTGGGTGGATGGCAAGTAGTTAAACTGTCAATAGGTTTCTACATGTAGCGCCTTCCCAGAAAGGAACAGCTTGGTAACTTTGGGTTCTCTGTTCTGTGCCTCATCTCCAAGAACAACCTTGGGCCCCTCTGACACACCAGGTTGACTGAAACTCACTACAAGCACGGAATAAATACATAAATGTAAAATATTCTTAGTGCTGATTCACACTTGTGCGGTGCGGATTGAAGCTCAGCTAATTGACACAGTAGATGTTCACCGGTTCAGGTCAGGTTTACATCAGGTTCAGGACAGGATCAGCTCAGGATTTTATCCTGCTCACCCATGGTGCATACCCTCCACCTAAAACTGAAATAATACTAATAATCACCCAAAAGTTTTATCTTTCTGTATAAAGTGATATTAAACCCACCGTTTGTAAGCACTTTCAGCAGCTGATGTATCACTTACAGAGTATGCAGCTCCTTTATACTTTAATTCTTGCCTATGTTCCAGTTTTAAGCTGGTGCCATGACCACTGCTGCAGGTTTCCTGTTTCAGGGTGGCTCCTTTCTCTTGCACCATCCTATGGAGCCACCCCTGCATACAGGGACTAGAGTTGTGTACCCCCTCCCCTCCCTGCCCCCGCTCTTCCCTTCTCTCCCCCTCTTTAAGCTAACAGACTGACTGGAGACTGCACTGTGCATTGTTATTGCTTTCTTGTGATGACCAGAAGCTCAGGGAAGCAGTACTGAGGAGCCAGTAGCCTTAAATGCTGTAAACTGCCAGTGTCGGGGTTACACATTTTCCCAACAGTATTACTGGGGAACATTTATTTTGTTGCTGTGTTGGAGTTCCCCCTACTCAGTAAACATTCCCAGGCTCTTCCTACACATTTGATCCCTCCAGATCTGTTCAATACTTTTTTTCTGGTTTTGCAGGAACAGTGGAACTCACAAGGTGAGCACAGCAGTGCCATTAAGTAGATATTTATATTAAAATGGAAATCTCAGATACTGCCAGTTCATCAAACAAATCCATTCAAAACACAAGTATCACGTTCTGGACACTGAGGTCGAAATCTAGACATGCAGCTAAATAATGAGTTGAAATACATCAATGAGAGCTGCTTTACCTGCCAAAGGATTTGTATTTCAGTCTGTACAGTCCTGCCAGGCAGCAGAGCCAGGTTGGTTGACTTCACTTTTCTGTATTGCACTCGGGGAACACAACCTGATCACCTCCCTGCTTCCAGTCCACATTAGGGCAGTGAAGGTACAATAACAAACATATGTTTTATTTATACTTTGCATTCATTGGCAGCTCCACCCAGCTATGGTTCAGGTTTTTTTTTGTCCCTTTTAATTTACAGAATAGCTTTTGGAGCAATTGAATATATTTCTTGACATCGTTCTACTGTGCAATGGTGATCATCATTGTAGGCACCTGAGGTGTAAAACATAAAATCTAGTGGATTTGCATGATATAATTTGCATGTTTCCTGTTCTCTATATGTGATGTCGGGGGGCTCCCCCCTAATGATGTCAGCTGTTATATAGGAGACATTATACCGGTGACATCTCAGTAGTCTGTGTGTGTCAGTGCAGAGACATCAGGATGGCTTCTCAGGGGGTTCTGCTGCCTCTCATACTGCTTTATATTCAGGGGTGAGAGATTCACATAGTAAAAGTATATATAATGATAAGGGGGGAGAAGAGAATTGCAAGAAAAAAAATAATACAATATATAAAATCATGTTCTTGTTTTTCTCAGGATCCTGGGCACAGGTTACACTGACACAGACTCCGAATGAGATCTCTGCAACTCCGGGACAGACAGTCACCATCTCATGTAAATCCAGTGCTATTATCAATGATTATTTACACTGGTACCAGCAGAAAGCAGGACAACCTCCAACACCGATTATCTGGCGTGCAACCAATCTGCAGTCCGGAGCCCCATCTAGGTTCAGTGGTTCTGGACTTGGAATAAATTTCACTCTCACAATTACAGACATAAAGGATGAAGATGCAGCAGTTTATTACTGTCAGCATGCTTTGGGATTTTACATTCACACAGTGATACAGAGCCGTACAAAAACCTCTTTCCTCTTTTAGTATCAATGAAGCCTCTGATCATTTTAACCACTTCCAGTCCGGACACTTTCACCCCCTTCCTGTCCAGGCCAATTTTCAGCTTTCAGCGCTATCACATTTTGAATGACAATTGCGCGGTCATGCAAGCAACACTGTACCCATATTAATTTTTTTGCATTTTTTTGAGACAGAAAAAAACTTTATTTTGGTGGTATTTATTCATTACTGGGATTTTTATTTTTTTGCTATATAAATGAAAAAGTCACAAAAATTAGAAAAAAAGTGTGTTTCCTATAACATTTTGCAGATAAATAATCTTTCTTCATAAATCTTGGCCAAAATGAATTCAGCTATCTTTTTATTAAAATTAAAAATGACCTAAATTTAAAAATGTGTATTTTATTTTTTATATTATTATTTGTTTTTTTTTTTTTTTTCTTTTTTAACATACTGTCAACCTAGCAGTACAGTGTCACCATAGTGACACTGTACTACTTGTGGAGGGTGATGAAGATTTTTTTTACACTGAATGCTTTTACACCCATAAAGGCTGTAAAAGCAATCATTTCTCCTTCTCTCTGGTTGCATTCTTGCAGTCATTGATAAATACTGTGAGAGCTGTGATTGGTCACAGCTTGTCACATGGTACAAGACTGTTGTGAACAGCCTTGTACTATGTGACCTGTGTGATCATTCACAGATTTCACAAGAATAACGCTATGATGTCAGGAAATGACATCTCGTTTACTACTGTTCATGTGATCACTGATTGGCCAATCAGGGATCACATGAATCGGGACCTCACACAGAGGTCCCATACAGCGATTGGTGTTCCAAAGCAGGCACCGATCGCGCTGCTGCACGCTCCCAGGCAATAGATGCGGGGGGACATTTAGAAACGTCCACCCGCTCCGGCAGCGCTGCCATCCTGCCGTTTATGCACATGGGCCGGATGGGAATTGGTTAAAGAAAATTTGATTTCTTTTTTCATATGTTATTTTTCATGTGTCATGTTTAGTTGTAGAAATACAATTTCTGACATTCTTATTATTGTAATTACTTTATATAGATATTTCATATTTTCACTTACCAGCCCGTTCATACTATCATATTAGAAAATGCATGAGTTTTCCTCCTTTACAACTTACCTCCAAGTGTATAATACAGTTTCACTTTGGTTTTGGGAGATAAGTGCACTTTATTTTTTGCAGATAAAAAAAAAAATGTGCATTTATTAGTTTCTTTTCTTAGGAGCCTGCAGAGCATTGCACTTGCGATCAGTAGATCATGGGTGCAATGTCGGGCTACTGCAGACTCTCAGTCAGCTGCTGCCCACCTCACCCATATGGGCAGACATCAATGAACTATGAGAGTGCTCACCAGCGCCTCCGTGGTTCATTCAAAACTACAAGACATCTGCTGTGGTGGCAGACAGTACTTGTAGGTCATTCATTCACTCTCAGAGTGATTAACGTGGCTGTGGCAGGTGTGGTTTAAAGATTTCCCACCCGCTGTCACAATGGGGAATGGGGGGTTGTGAGCAGGTGCTTTGGTTACATGGTAAAAATGATAGCCTAAACATGAGTGTAACATGTACTAACTGTGACCTTATCTTTTAACCACTTCCAGTCCGGACACTTTTACCCCGTTCTTGTCCAGGGCAATTTTCAGCTTTCAGTGCTATCACACTTTGAATGACAATTGCGCGGTCATGCAACACTGTACCCATATGAATTTTTTACCATTCTTTTGAGACAGATAAAACTTTATTTTGGTGGTATTTATTTTTATTTTTTTTGCTATATAAATGAAAAAAAAAAAGTCCAAAAATTTTGAAAAAAGTGTTTTTTCTTATAAAATTTTGCAAATAAATAATATTTCATCATAAATCTTGGCCAAAATTGATTCCGTTATCTTTTTAGAAAAAAAAAAATATGCCAAATTAGTTTATAGCCAGTAATTATAATTTTTAAACATTTTTTTTTTACATTTTTTTATTTAATTTTTTTATATTATTATTTATGTTTTTTTTTTTTTACGTACCATCACCCTAGCAGTACAGTGTCACCATGGTGACACTGTACTACTTGTGGGGGGGTGATGAAGATTTTTTTTTTTTTTACAGTGATTGCTTTTACACCCATATAGGATGTAAAAGCAATCATTTCTCTTTCTCTCTGTCTGCATTCTTGCAGCCATTGAGAAATACTGTGTGAGCTGTGATTGGTCACAGCTTGTCACATGGTACAAGGCTGTTGTGAATAGCCTTTTACCATGTGACCTCTGTGATCATTCACAGATTTCACATGTAGTGAGCAATGATGTCACAAGTGACATCTTGCTTACTATTATTCATGTGATCACTGATTGGCCAAACAGTGATCACATGATCAGGACCTCGTACAGAGGTCCCATCCGACGATCGGTGTTTCACTGTGTCCGGAGGACACAGCGGGCACCGAATCGCGGTGCTGCGCGCGCCCCCAGGGAGCGCGCACAAACTAGAAATAGCGGGTGCCGTTTATAAACGGCAACTCGACCCTGGAGTGCCACCGCCCTGCCGTTTAAAAACAGCAGGCGGACGGCAAGTGGTTAATGTGTTGAGTTATTATGTATTACAACTCCAGACGCATTTTTTTTTTTTTTTTTTTCATTTCCTGTCTCTATTTTATGGGTTGTGTCTGTGTTTGTCGACTTGCAAAACATATTATTAAAAAAGAAACTGCAAACTCCGATCCATTATGCTCCCCAATCCGCAGATCCGATCCATCCTGCGAGGATTGTCGGCTTGCTTTCCAACTTACTTTTTTGTGGAGCGGGTCCGGTGTCACCCCGTATAGGTTGCATGCCGACGATCCTCACAGGATGGATCCGGTCTGCAGATTGGGGAGCATAATGGATCGGACTACGATAAATTATGCTCAATGCGCAGATCCGATCCATTCTGCGGGGATCGTTGGAGGGGGGGTGTCAACAAATGTTATCGCACCGGGTGACACCAACCCTAGGGACGCCCCTGACTCTGCCATTGACAAAAATGCAAGGCAGCGATCTGAGCAGCCTATTGATTACAATGATAACTAGTTTTATACATGGCATAACCAGGCTATACATGGGTCGAATTCCAAACTAAAAGAACTTCTTTAGAAAATCAGACATTTTGTGCGTTTTGTAATCCAATGATGCCACCATTGATTTCAAAATTCGACCAACCAAACCTTCAATTTCACATGTTGCTACAGAAAAGAATTTTCATGGCCAAGAATGTTCTTTTCTTTCCAGGTCACAGCTCATGTTTGTTTCTTTTTCAGTTATATTTCTCACACAATTCTCCCATCATTGATTAGAAATTTGTTAGTTTTTAACCACTTCCTGTCCGGACACTTTTACACCCTCCTGTCCAGGCCAATCTTCAGCTTTCAGTGCTATCACACTTTGAATGACAATTGCGCGGTCATGCACCACTGTACCCATATGAATGTTTTAGCATTTTTTTGAGACAGATAAAGCTTTATTTTGGTGGTATTTATTCACCGCTGGGATTTTTATTTTTTTTGCTATGTAAATGAAAAAGTCCAAAAATTTTGAAAAAAAGTGTTTTTCTTATAAAATTTTGCAAATAAATAATATTTCATCATAAATCTTGGCCAACATTTATTTCATTATCTTTTTAGTAAAAAAAAAAAACCCAAATTAGTTTATAACCAAAAATTATATTATTATTATATAATTTGAAACTATTTTTTTACATTTTTATTTTATTTTTTTATATTATTATTTATGTTTTTGTTTACATACTGTCACCCTAGCAGTACAGTGTCACCATGGTGACACTGTACTACTTGTGGGGGGGTGATGAATATTTTTTTTTTTTTTTACACTGATTGCTTTTACACCCATAAAGGCTGTAAAAGCAATCATTTCTCTTCTCTCTTGCTGCTTTCTTGCAGCCATTGAGAACTACTGAGTGAGCTGTGATCATTCACAGATTTCACACGTAGTAAGCAATGATGTCAGAAGTGACATCTTGCTTACTACTCTGCATGTGATCACTGATGGGCCAATCAGTGATCACATGATCGGGTCCTCACACAGAGGTCCCGTACAACGATCGGTGTTCCACTGTGTCCGGAGGACACAGCAGGCACCGGATCGCAGTGCTGCGTGCTCCCTGGGAGCGCGCACAAGCAGGGTGCGGGGAGGTCGTTTGTAAACCGCCACCTGACCCTGCACTGCCATCATCCGGCCGTTTATATACAACGGCCGGACAGGAAGTGGTTAAAAGAATTTCCAACATGCCCGATCACTCAACTTTGATGGTTGCATGAAAATTGTCTGTTTCTGTGCCCCACTAATGGTGCAAAATTCTAACGAAAATTCTTATAAAAGATTTTCGAAAGAAAATTCAGCATTCGACCCATGTGTGGCCGGCTTTAGGCTGTGGTCACTTTTTAATACCCAATCCTGTGTTAGCAAAAAGTAAGCTTTCACCTAACTTAGTGAATAGGGTGGCGCTGTGCTGGTTATCCAATCATATGCAAGCATAAATCCTGTTTTTATTTTTTGGTTTTATCCTTGTCCCGGGAGATCTTTAGAGCAGCCAGGAGGGCTGGTAGTGTCTGCGGGCAGTGGGGATGGGAGCAGTTCTACAGGGAGAGGAGGTGACTCTGCATGCAGTTTACAAGACGCTAAGTTGATTTCAGTGGGGCTGTGAGTCCCTCGCCTGTATGGGGCTGTTGCTACTGATACACAAAGACTGATGGTTTTCAAGGAAAAAAACAGTCCAGGATCTGTCTCTGTACATAGGAAAGAACTTGTCCTCATGCATTGATTCAGTTACATTGGACATCCCTTAACCCCCCTGGCGGTATTCCCGAGTGTAGCTCGGGGTAAAATGTCAGTACCAAAAGCGGTAACCCCGAGCTACACTCGGGCTTACCATGCGGCGCTGCATAGGGAGTCCCCTGCAGTGCTTACCTTGTCCTTCGCTACCCGCAATGTGTCCCCTGCAGCGTCCCCGG